TTTTTTTCTCATTGAAGCTTTACCGAACTAAGTTTCTTCATATAACTTTTTATACTTCACATATTCTAACAGTAGTATGTTAAATTCTAGAACAAACAAAAATAGATGAAAAAGAATACTTAAAAAGAATGTAAGTTTTAAAGATGCTTTCTTTTATCTTTGATTGAGGAAAACCTGGAATTCTTATAATTTCGTAAGATAATCTGAATTTCAATTAAATACAGTTACATACTATACAATTTTGTATGTAAAAATGAAATTCCATACAATTATTCTCGTCAACTATCAGTTTTCTTAACCATAGTTTATTATATTTCTTTATGTTAATTATAAAAATTTTGTTCTTCATTATCTATTCTCACTCATAACAATAGAATCACATTAATGCTTAAAAAAAACTTTACAGCTCAAGAATGGTTTCCATGAAATAACCTACATTTAATACAAAAATAACAATAATATGTCTTTGCTTTCATCTTTTTCTAAAATTATTTCATAACCAATAACATTCGTCTTTAGCACTCGCTTGACTTTCAGCTGAAAATCTACCTGTTTCTATATATTAAATTGTTTTAGGGTGTAGGGCTATGCACTTGCATGTCAGTGTCTATGACAATGTTCGAGAGAATCTTCGTGTACACTCACACCAACCCTCCAGATCTACACCCTCTGACCACATCTTGAGATTCAAAGATTGTTTTTAGTGATCCAATACGACTCTAGTTGAAGTCAAGTATTTTTTTCGCAACCCTGTGCCACCTTACCCGACTCGGGTTCAAATGTCTAGAGCTCATATTTCATCTGACAAAGTCTGCATTTTTTTTTCATGAGAAAAGGAGAAGAAAATAATCTATGTGACGAGAACTTCTTTCCATTCCATTTCAGAGAACTAGATATTCTTTCTGTCAAGTCCTATATTCGGAGCCTTGAATCACTTTATTCATGTATTGTTTTGCATTTATTTTGAAAATACATGTCGAAAATTTAACATCAAATACTACAACGAATATCTAGTCCTTTATTCATTAAACTGTTTTTCGAACAGAGCAATCATTCAATAATGACATGAATGATATTACAGATAAATAGAAAACAAGGATTTTGTTTCTTTGAAATAAAACATAATATTGTTAAAATAAGTGTACGAACAAACAACATAAAATGAATACAAATATACTGAAATTACTTAGAAACTTCTTTCTTCATTACTTATGATAGATGTCAGATGTTAATTATATTTCTGGAATTAAATGGGATTTGATTAGTTTTCATTGTTATAGATTATATATGTCTGATATTACTTGTAGGATACGGTTCGATTTGATTAGTTCTCCACGAAGGTGTTTTTCTACATAAAAATAACATTTTTGCTTCTTTTCTGAATGATCTTGATGAAACTAAAAAAGCAAAAAATGGACATGCAAATGTTATATAACATATATTTGTAACAATATTTGTAATCAATAGTTCAGCAGCTCTTCGATCAGCAGATTTTGTTATTGTTGCAGTCAATATTATATATTCTGTAACTACTACATATGGCAATGTTGAAAAAAGTATTATTGGAATTAATATAAGCATCATTGATGTTAATTGCCTTTGAATTAATTGTCGTTGACGACCTAGTTGTAATTTAGTTGTATTTCTATATGTCATTATACCTGTTATAATAAGTATTGTACTAGGTAATAAACCATAATAAACAGGAAATGCAAAATATATTAGATAGTTAGCAAAAGCTTCATTTTGATTAAGTACACAAGATATTACACCTGTAATTGGATTTTGTAATATTTCAGTATATACTAAATAAGGAACAAAATGAGAAAACCAAAATATACTTATCAGAATAGTTGCCCATATTGCTGACGATAATTGACTCAATTTTCTGTATTTTTCTTGACGACAACTAACAAGAAATCGATCAATACTTGCTAAGCAAATAGATGTTAATGAAATGAGAAAACTTGCAGGAGTTAAAGCAGCACGAGTTTTACACCAAATACGATTTGAAGTTGACCAATCAAGTTGAAAACCAACACTTAATATTCTTGCAAATAAACCATAAAATAAAACAATACAATTAATCAATGATAGAAACATAAGTATAAATGCACATGGATTATGCCTAGTTCTCCAAAATAGACGAATATTAAGTAAATTTCCTAGAGTACCACAAATAAATACAGGTAGGCCAAAACAAATTGTTATTGAACTTATTAATGAACTAATGGCAACCATTTTTTTTTTGTTGTGTTTTTAAAATCTACAAAAATACATATCCGATTTATTGCATTTGATGCTCTAAATCATAATCATAGTAAACTAATTTCTGTCAGGAAACGAACGAGTTATATATTTTTCAATACAAGTCAAAATGTAGTACACAGAAATAGTTTCAAGTGAACATAACTCAAGTTTGACATGATTCACTAATCTATACTTTTATCTCTCTCTACCGTTTCTGTTTTCCTTAGATGAGAAATATAAGGAAAACTGCTTGTACATAAATAAATTTTTATAGTATTAACCAATTGATATCTTCCGTAGGGCCAATACATCGAAGGTTGCTGTTACTTCAATAAGAAAGAATTTTTTTTTCTGCGGCTAAAATTTTGTAAAGTACGTCATTGGAAAAAGAATTTTATTTTTATTGACCAATACCTCTACATTTCTCTAAAATATAAAACAAACATTGTACTGATCATAATTGGTTTCATTAATACAAAAATCAAATATCATACTATGCTTACTTTTAAAATTATTCTAATAACTCAGAAAAATTTTTTACAGCAGAGTTGTGCAACATGGTATCTTTTTTCAAAGAGAATACAAAACTCCAGAAGTTTATACAACATTTAAGTGTCCAAACAGAAATAGTTCATCGACTACATCTTGGCATGTTTAGTTAATAAATAAAAAAACAAGCTCTTATAAGAATACATAAAATTGCACTGGAAGCGTCTCAATGCTTTTTTTCTACCAAGTAATCAAAAATATAAGGATACTTTTTTCTATCAAGAGCTCATCAATAACAAGTTGCATACGATCGTTAGATAGATAAATATGCTAGTAAGCAAAATTGAATTTCAGGCAAGATTCGTTTTTAAATTAGATGCAAAACTTTGAAACTATTTTCCTTAATGGAGTCATAAATTCTAATATGAATTTAATTAAACAGTAGTAGTATATAAAATTTGTTTTTGTATAGTAAGTAGAATATTTATTTCTTTTTATCCATGCTATGATGTATATAACAATGATTTCTTCTACGGTAACATCAGAAAAAGTGGTTTTTTTCGATCGATATTAAATTCAAAGAAAATACAGGTAGTATTATTCTATGAGCAGAAAATACACAAGGTAAAAAAGTTGGTGTTTTTTTCTCATTGAAGCTTTACCGAACTAAGTTTCTTCATATAACTTTTTATACTTCACATATTCTAACAGTAGTATGTTAAATTCTAGAACAAACAAAAATAGATGAAAAAGAATACTTAAAAAGAATGTAAGTTTTAAAGATGCTTTCTTTTATCTTTGATTGAGGAAAACCTGGAATTCTTATAATTTCGTAAGATAATCTGAATTTCAATTAAATACAGTTACATACTATACAATTTTGTATGTAAAAATGAAATTCCATACAATTATTCTCGTCAACTATCAGTTTTCTTAACCATAGTTTATTATATTTCTTTATGTTAATTATAAAAATTTTGTTCTTCATTATCTATTCTCACTCATAACAATAGAATCACATTAATGCTTAAAAAAAACTTTACAGCTCAAGAATGGTTTCCATGAAATAACCTACATTTAATACAAAAATAACAATAATATGTCTTTGCTTTCATCTTTTTCTAAAATTATTTCATAACCAATAACATTCGTCTTTAGCACTCGCTTGACTTTCAGCTGAAAATCTACCTGTTTCTATATATTAAATTGTTTTAGGGTGTAGGGCTATGCACTTGCATGTCAGTGTCTATGACAATGTTCGAGAGAATCTTCGTGTACACTCACACCAACCCTCCAGATCTACACCCTCTGACCACATCTTGAGATTCAAAGATTGTTTTTAGTGATCCAATACGACTCTAGTTGAAGTCAAGTATTTTTTTCGCAACCCTGTGCCACCTTACCCGACTCGGGTTCAAATGTCTAGAGCTCATATTTCATCTGACAAAGTCTGCATTTTTTTTTCATGAGAAAAGGAGAAGAAAATAATCTATGTGACGAGAACTTCTTTCCATTCCATTTCAGAGAACTAGATATTCTTTCTGTCAAGTCCTATATTCGGAGCCTTGAATCACTTTATTCATGTATTGTTTTGCATTTATTTTGAAAATACATGTCGAAAATTTAACATCAAATACTACAACGAATATCTAGTCCTTTATTCATTAAACTGTTTTTCGAACAGAGCAATCATTCAATAATGACATGAATGATATTACAGATAAATAGAAAACAAGGATTTTGTTTCTTTGAAATAAAACATAATATTGTTAAAATAAGTGTACGAACAAACAACATAAAATGAATACAAATATACTGAAATTACTTAGAAACTTCTTTCTTCATTACTTATGATAGATGTCAGATGTTAATTATATTTCTGGAATTAAATGGGATTTGATTAGTTTTCATTGTTATAGATTATATATGTCTGATATTACTTGTAGGATACGGTTCGATTTGATTAGTTCTCCACGAAGGTGTTTTTCTACATAAAAATAACATTTTTGCTTCTTTTCTGAATGATCTTGATGAAACTAAAAAAGCAAAAAATGGACATGCAAATGTTATATAACATATATTTGTAACAATATTTGTAATCAATAGTTCAGCAGCTCTTCGATCAGCAGATTTTGTTATTGTTGCAGTCAATATTATATATTCTGTAACTACTACATATGGCAATGTTGAAAAAAGTATTATTGGAATTAATATAAGCATCATTGATGTTAATTG